TGTGGATACCTTCCTTGTCACAACGCGTTTTAAAGCCGTGAGGGCAGCAAATCCCATAAGAACTATGCAGTTAAGCGTGCTCGGGCGGGAGTAGTACCGGGATGGGTGACCCCCTGGGAAGTTCTCGTGCCGAGTGGCCCAAAGCGGACAATATTGTGATACGTGCCAGAGGGGGGTTGTTACAAATGGTATCAGAGCTAGGGCACGGGTCGATGTGTTCGACAGGGACGTTGAACCCTATAATGGGGGGTGAAGGTGGGTTGCACTTGATCCTACATCAGCTTGGAAGGAGAACAAAACATCTCCTTATAAGGGGTGTGGATACCTTCCTTGTTACAACGCGTTTTAAAGCCGTGAGGGCAGCAGATCCCATAAGAACTCTGCAGTTAAGCGTGCTCGGGCGGGAGTAGTACCAGGATGGGTGACCCCCTGGGAAGTCCTCGTGTCGAGTAGCCCAAAGCGGACAATATTGTGATATGTGCTAGAGTGGGATGTTACACCTAAGCTTCGATCTGGACCAAATAATGCTTTGCATGCATAACGTTTCCAACGTTATCTATCTCTTGAGCTTAAATTCCTATATCTAAAGCCCTAATGCTCTAAATGTATCAAAATGACCAATATGCTCATTGCATGGCTGCAAAATAATTGACAATATCATAACTTTATAGGACCAAAAGGTCCAGAGATCATCTAGAACATAAGTAATGCTCATGGAGTTGATAAAACTCCAAGAACCATCCTTAAATGGTCAAATAAGGGATTCTAAGCATGCACAAACAACTAAGGAGTAGGAAATGTATGAACTTTATAACTTTCAGATGTATGGAAAGTGCTTAGAAAGCTAGATCCCAACAACAACAAACTCAAAAGGTAATGTAATGGCTACATTCTTCCTCCAAATGATCAACCAAAATCAAAATGTCACTCATATAAAACATACACACTCACAAGGACTCGAGTTTATGTTTCTGAGAGAAGAAAGATGGAACGATATAAACGCTAGAATGTTTGCATCATTATATATGACTTAAGGCCCAAGATCTAGGGTTTTGAGCCCAACCGTCATTGTGTTGCAACCTATAGACGACTGTGTTGCTACTTAAATGACGTAACCACGTCACAACATCATATAGACCGCGTCGCGATCTACCAAAAACATAACACCCCAAACTTCATCAAAATCAACACAATCGCATTACATACCAGGATATGGGTGTTTCAAAAAAATCTTAGAAAAAACAGTTCCAACTAAATAGTCAAAATCGTGTTTAAAGCCATGACAACTTACTAACACTCGGGTTTATGTTTCTAAGAGAAGGAAGATGCAATGATATAAATTCTAGAATGTTAGCATCATTATATATGACTTAAGGCCCGAGATCTAGGGTTTTGAGACTAACCGTCATCGTGTTGTGACCTACAGCCGACTGCGTCGCTACTTAAATGGTGTGGCCATGTCACAACATCATATAGACCGCGTCGCGATCTACCAAAAACCATAACACCTCAAACTTCATCAAAATCAACACAATCGCATTACATACCAAGATATGGGTGTTATAAAAAATCTAAGAAAAACCAATTCCAACTGAATAGTCAAAATAGTGTTTAAAGCCATGACAACTTACTACTTAGTTTTTATTCTATATACAAACCAATTATAAGAGTAATCAACCAAACTATCGGTTTACATATTTCATCTTACTTTTTGACCACTAATAACCGCACATGCCAAACAAGCCACCATATCGTCATAACAAATGCCTCCAACGTTACTAGTTTCATGTTGGACAACTAAATAGACTCTAGCCAAAGGATGACGTATTTGACCCCTTGAAAGATTGGAATCAAGATATCACAACACTTGCTAAGAAACTTCTAAATCTCTATAGCTTCTTTATAGAAAATCAACACATGACGAATATCCTCCAAATCAGTATTATAGGTAGCACAAATCACGATATGAATGTTCAACTAAATTTAACTTAGTTTGAAGAATATTTAGACTATAATTCCAATAAAATATGCTAACTTTCTTGGAAAGATAATTATTCTATCCAATAACAAGCACCATTTGGTAGAGAACTGTCTTCAATTACTATTCGAGCCTATGCCACCATAAGTTGATCCCTACCATATATATCCTACACCTATCAATTAATAATTAAAGAAGTGTTAAAACCATCAAGAAGCCCTATCAACTACATAAGTTGAGAAAAAAACCATCCCACCACAAATTGGGTGACTCCACTTCCACCTCAAACCTTTACCACCCAATATCTGACTAATACAACAATCTTACTCTACTTTTAAGAGAAACAACCTAAGAAAACACATCATCAACAGGTGTTCTCCAATCCATAGACTGATCCTTCCAGAAAGCAATAGAGGATACATACCCAACCCTCATCTGAATCACACTTCTAGAAATTATATATTGCTGAAGATGATTTATAGTACCAATAATTCTCGACTAGTTACCCTTTTTAACAAAGAATTGTCTGAAGAGTCAAGAATTTAATCACGTATAGATTTCTAAGAATAGATGAATAAGAGATTGTAATAAATGTAGTTTCAGGTCCTATTATTTGGAAGGCAACAAGGTACAAGTACAAAGTATGATCCGAGAAAGTATAAAAGTGTCGGTACTTATGACCTATGCTACAACACTATTTATAGTGATATAAGCATATATGAAATGTATAGGAAGACTTCGACAATGAAGTAGATGCTCTAAAGTGCTTCCTGAAATACATAGATATATCAAAGTCATGTAAACTTTGATATAGCTTACAGACACTAACTTTGACATTACATAACAAGACTTTGACACAGAATACCTTCGCAACATATGATCCCAACATTCTTCCCCTTTGCAAAGAGTATTCAAGTCTTCCAACCGATGGTAGTGTCTTCAATTCTTCTATAAGGGTCTTCCTGATTTCCAAGTACCAACAAACATTCTTTCTGATCTGTTGTCTATCAGCATCAAATACATGTCCTTCACATATGTGTAGAAGAAATACTTTCTCTTATTCCCTTTCATTTTCTTCCCTTAAAAAAACCACTCCCAAAGGTTTCAAGATTATCACTACATCTATGTATTGCTCCAAATCCTCCTCATAAATTATATACTTTGGAGTCTTCCCAGGCTTGTTGTATGTCTTGGCTATCTTAAAATCTGATAGACTAAGGCGTGTTGAATAGAAATCAATGTAATTCTTGAGATAAGCATATCCCACAAGATAAGCAAAGCTCTCGCTCTCCCACTGGTTTGAAAGGAAAATCCAGATGTGACATCGGTGAATTCTGAACTGCAAAGCTCTCCTTTGGCAACTTATCAAAGGCATCCTTTTAGATTAACTAATTCAACTGTTTCATAATTCCAAACCTTGATCATATCTCCTTTTTTTAAACTAGGAGGATCATTCTCTCACTGTCTCAAAAATTTGTTAATTTTCCTCAACTTCTCAATCTCCAACTCTTTCATCTTCTTCTTTTCTTCATCAGTGGGCTCAAGACTTTTCCCTTTGTCTTTACTTGAAATAACAGCAAAATTGATTATTGAAGAGCTTACTCCTTCATTTATTGTTAAAATTTTCTTCATCTAGAGCTTAGAAACATTAACTTTGACATAAGGAATAATAATTGCACATGAAGTCATATCTTTTTCTATAGTTTGTACTGCCTTGATTAGAACTGAGATTGGAATCTGAGTTGAAAAGACCTTACGTACAACTTTGCATTTGTCTTCACCTCTAACTTTCGACGAACCACCCTTTTCTCTCCCCTGTGACAATTGCATAACACGTGGAGAATTCGTGGGTATGGGAAGTACTAGGTCCAAGATTAGTGCAAGTTAGGACTTAAAGCAGGCTTCAATCAAAGACACAACTTTGTTAACATTTGCATCAGATATCAAAGATCTTGAATTAGCTGCAACCTTCGAGATTGTTCTTGGAATGTACTGATATAAATCTCAATACCCTTGAACAATGTTTCATCCTCCTCTTTCTTCTTTTCAAGTGACTCTTTATATTCAACATTGAATGCAAGAATATCTTCAATAAGAGTTCTCGTCGCAGAGAGCATAACATCAATATTTTTATGCACTCCAAGGAACAAGCCATCAATAGTCTTGACTTCAGTATGAATCAAATCATGAACCTCTTGAATATTTAGATCAAAAGAATTCTTATACTAAAAAATTCTTTTCAATGATCTCATGTCTCTCCCTAGCAACATTGTGAACTTCGGTTAAATCAAACTTAACAGATAACATAGTTCCATCAAGTTTGTCCTAAAGATCAGTAGTTGCTCCTGTCACCATTCCTTTAACCTTCGACTCATGGGAATTCAACAAGGAAAAAACTTCCTCTTAGCTGACAGAGGAAGAACTATTCTTTATGAAATCATTAATGAACTATAAAATCATATTCAACTTTATGTTAAGAATTTTATTCTATTTCCCTAACATCAAAACTTCATCTGTAATATCTTCCTCCTCAGGATCAAAAGTTAGTTCACCAAGACCAAAACCAAAACTTTTATCTTCCTTTTCTTCCATATTTTGAGAACTATCATTTCCTTGATTAAGAGAGTGATCAGTAGATTGTAAGGAAAATAAAGTGGTAATCAGCTGATTAAGAATACCAACATAATTTGTTGAATTTTGAGGAATAGATGTGAATTGATGCAATGAGACTTTGAGTGGTGAATCTAATGGTGGAGTAACCGTCAAAGAATTGATTGTAGATTTGTCGCCTATATTGACATTTGAGTCCACATGAAAGGTGTTCGCATGGATGTTTGAAGTCCTAACCACCTCCGAAATGGACTTGGTAGTAGGAATCTCGAGTGGTTTGACAGTTGTTGTTGATTAAGAAAGATATTAAAGGTATTTCATCATTTGTGATGTTTGTGTCCACATTAGATTGGTGCACAATGATATCTTGATTGCTTATCTCCTATGCATTAGATTCGACAATGGCACCCTTTTATGGTGAAATAGGTTGTGTATCGTGATGAAGTACATCATTGATCAAATAATCTACATCATCTGCATTTGCATCATGACTATAATATGAAGATTGTGCCTTCGACATATCAGTATCTTCTGTATTAGGAGAACCAAGAACAATAACTTCGAAAGTATTCTTCTTTTTCTTAAGAAGCTTAGTGACTTGATTCTTACTAGCCATCCTCTTCAATATATTACTAGAGGCTTCTTGGATCAACACACTTCCCTTTAACTTAGACTTAGTCTTCTTGGGTGTAGGAACCCTAGGAACATCACCAATTATTGCACAATATTAAATCAACACAAGATTCAAAAATGAAAATAACTGTAGCATAACATCAGATATTCTTCTAATAGTTGTGATAGCTTTAGGATCATTAACCAAACTTTTAGGAAAATGGAGATGAGAAAATACAACTAGTTCCACTCCTTCTAGAAATTGAATTTCTACTTGTTGATATGCTTCGATGAGCACCAAACTCCAAAACCTTGAACTCGCAACCTCTGTAGCTTTCTTATAGTGATTGACATAGGTAGTAAATTCTACTCATAACAATAAATCATAATCGACCTTCATAGTATAATATAATCTTGCCAAAATAGAATATAACTGGAGTTTTGCCCTATCTAGGCTAGAAGTCCTTATAAATAGACAACAAATGATCACTCCAAAGAAGAAACACCACACTACAGGTAAATTGGACTCTCGAAAAGCACTGATAAGAGTAAGATGCAAATAATACCCCATTTCATTCATCATAGCTAAGACTTGACCCAACGATGGAGATTCAAATGGACCATCTGATTCTAGCATCAAAATATGAGTAAATTGCTTCTTCATGAGAATCTTCTTGCCTTTTGTTTCCATCTAAAATGTAGTGAGTTCACAATCAGTGTTGTACACAACAATTTAACATTCTAAGGATAACCACTTCATCTATATAACAAAAGAAGAAGTTAATGCATGATGAAGAATAGAATCATTCAAACACTCAATGAGTCTTTGAAGTTATTTTGGATAAGCACCAATAACTGGATTAAACCATACATTTTTACATTAGATTTTCATATGATGAACTGAGCTTTCTTTATCAGTAGTATTAATCAAATCAACTTGAGACATGATTATGAATTTATCAAATACTTTTTTGTAGAAAACTAACCAATTTAGGGTTACGGTTCTTGAGAGCAAATCAAAAAGTAGAAAAACTGAATTATAACTGTCGAAACCCCTTTTAAAATGACATGAATTTTGAATTTGAAAGGTTCACCAATCAAAAGCTTCCACGTGTAAAGTAAAAAACCGAAGAGACATCGTCTCTATCTGGCATGTGTAAAAGTCATAAGTGTTCCCTCAAACAAAGAGAAAGCAGTAATAGTCTGTAATCTACTAGACGATGATCAATTCGAATTAACCATAAAAAGAAAACTTCAACTACTTGAAAATCAAACATATAACAAACTTTGATAGTAAACATAGCTTGGGTCTCATTCACTTACTGGTATAGTAAATGAAATCATAAACCAGAATTTGTGGAATCTTGGTCCATATTGGTATTACCCATAACCTCGAGGATACCAGTGCAAATGTGTATCCAAAGAAAACGATAGAAACAAATATATGAAAATTTGGATAAGTCATGATATCAAGGATAATTTGATATAAAGGTAGTAAGATGCAGAGTAAAGATTCTCTTCCTTCGATATCAAGAGAAATATCAAAGTGCTTGTGTTGTTTCCCTTGAATTACAATTGACTACTTATAGAAAAGTATCGAAGGGACTATTTTAGCTATTATTAAAGGTAGGCTATACTTTGAAACAATTTTTCAACTTAACATAAGAGTAAAACAATGCAAAAAATCCTTAAGTGATCAGTGTAATCAACATCAAGTAATCATGTGTATGATTTAAAGTGACAAAAGTTAAGGAAAAATGTTCAAACTAAAATCTCATTTCATGAAAATAAAAATTGGTCAATTTCATGAAGATCACTCAGAAAAAATGAAAATGAGATTTTGAACATTATACGAAGGCATAGCGGAATCATAAGAGTTTCTTCTGTCAATTCATTAGTTAAAATCTAGAACAATAAATTATTCACCGTCAATTCCTTTGAAATGTATTGTTTTATGGGTTTCACTTTGATCATGGTGATAATGGTTTCAAGATCATAAACACAGATTTTTGGCATACCTGAATTATAGTTTGTTCTAACTAGAGATGTCTTCAGATAAGAGTCACAGTGTGTGAGATGTGTAAGAATAATGAGATAAGAAGATTGACAATGATTCTTTCACAAACTTATGGTGGTAATAAATTTGCTCATTAAGACAAATTTTGAATAACCATATTTCCAAATTGGTTCTATCTCAGAACGTCAAGGGTTAAACAAAAATCATGGATATGAGTTCCGTCAATTTAGTGGTTTCAGACTGGAACATAAAAATGCACACACAAAATATTTTTGAGATTTCAAATAAAAGACAAAAATAACAAAAATCTTTTTGGTATTTTTGATTTTTCAATAAAATACATAAATAAATAAAATCTATTTGTGATTTTTTAATTTTCAACAAATAATGTAAAAGAAATGAAAATAAAAATAACAAAAATTTTACCATAACTTTAATAGTAAGCCAACACCACTGAATGATTCAACACAAATTTCATTTGCGAAGCTCTACAAACCACTGAACGTGAACAATACCCGTTGAACAAATCAGTAGCATTATCAAAATTTAATGAGCATAGAAGTCTACATAAAAAAATAACTTCGATATCAAAGTCATAAATATCAATTAGAATTTGGTACATAACAAGCTTCCATCATTCCCAACCCATTAAAAATTATATTAAAAGATTTTTCATGAAGAGGTTCAGTAAAAATATAAGCAAGTTGTTCTATGGTATTGATGAAATGAACTTCGATTGCCATCTTTAACATGATCATTGATGAAATGGTATCGAATAGCAATATGTTTTGTCTTAGAATGTTGAATTGGATTATGTCATATGCGAATGACACTCCGAGAGTCACAAAAACAAATGTATTTTCTTCATATTGATCGCATAGTGAACAAGTTGACTTTGAATCTAGATCACTTGCGAAGTGTATGTAACAACAACACTATACTCCGGTATTCACAGGATAGGCTTTAATGAAAATCCAATATTCGCAGTATACCATACTCCAAGCATAGGAGTGCAATGTAGATATCAAACGATATTCTTGACAATAGTGAGATGTGGTTCCCTTGGGTTTGCTTGGTACCTAGAACAATTATATATAAAGAACATGATATTAGGCCCACTTACAGCTAAATATAACAAAGAACCTATCATGCTTCGATATGTCTTCAAATCAATTCCATTTTTATATAAATATGGAATCAAGAGTGTGCTACATATCATAGGTACTTTCGCATCTTAGCAGTTTGTCATGCCAAATCTTTCAAGAAAAATCTTCATGTAATATTCTTGATTTATAAAGATACCTTCTTTGATTTGGAAAATATTCAACCCCAAGAAATAGTTGATTTTTTCCCTCATGCTTATCTAAAACTAACTGTGCATCAAATCCTCAAATTCCTTCGACAAAGTAGGTTCAGTAGAACCAAAAATTATACCATCTACATAAATTTGAACAAGCATTAGATGATCTCTAACTTTCTTTTGAAATAATGTGGGATCAACTGATCCTTGCTTAAATTTAGAGATTTTCATAAAATTGGTTAATGTTGCATGTGACAACCCGATATTTTCCCAAAAGCAGTGTAACGCTCAAAAGTCAAATACAACAAAAATTATTTGGAGTCAATTAAATTAACCTCAAAAATAAAGTGTTCAAATATCTGAGTTGGGATACATCAAATGTTAGATATCGTGCCAAGGTTTCCAAAAATATAAAGAGCGTTCAAAACCGGGTTATATTGAAGAAATTATAACCACTCGTATATTTACGACACACCGTTAAAACGCTATTTAACGTAAAAAGTGAAATTTCAATAAAATGCATTTTAGCCTTAAGTAACTAAAAAAAAGATGTAGAGTTCGTTAGACTGTAAACATACATAAAAAGATCGCCCAAATTGGACCTCGTATGAAGAAGTTACGAATTTCCTAAGTTTTGTAACAGTAGTAGAGGGCTAAAAACTCGAATTGAAGATTGAGTGTTATTTAGCTATCGCCACCTAAACGGAAGTTGAAGATCTCCACAATAGTAATAAAATGATAAAAAGACAAACAAAAACCGACGTCGAATAAAGAAACTATGAATTTTTAACGGACTTTAGTAGTCCCGGCCTATTAACAATATATCATTAAAAATAAAGTCAAAACTAGCCGACGGAGTCTAAATGAAAGTTGTAGAGCATAATCTCACCTACGCGTGGATATAAAGAACGCGAAAAATGGAGCCCGTACGCGAAAGTTACGGAATTTAGAAAATGGAAGACTGGATTACGCCCCGCGTACTAGACCCAGTGTCAAGTCCCATCGGCTCGAGTGCTCTACGCTAGCTAGACCTGAGTCGTAAGCCGTGACACATTTTTACGCCCCGTGTAACCGAAGTACGCCCCGCGTACTGGGTACGCCCAACGTACTCCAGTAGTACGCCCCGCGTACGAGGATCCTCCAGCCTATAAATAGAAAGGTTGAGCTTCGGGTTTTTGCACACAATTCTCAGATCCTCTCTCACTTTTACACACCCTAGAGCTCCAGAGACCATCCCGACACCTCGGTTTCCGTACCCGAGCCCCGACGAAAGATCTACGCTACCGAGATCCCCGAAGAGCCCGAAGACATTCTTTCCGCGATCAAAGTTCTGCTCAACTTTAGCCTCTCTCTCTTCGAACCAAACGAGTGAGTTCATACCCCTATCTTTCAATTCTTTTCATGTTTTTGGGGGGGAATACAAGTACATTACACGTTAAAGTATCATTTTATAAACATAAATGTAATGTCTATCTTTGAATATCGATACAAACATCTTTATGTATAAAGGGCTATTATATCACCAAGTTATTTTCACCAAATGGAACATACTTTCTGAAAAACTATAATGGGTATAGTTAATGAGTCAATCGTACATTTTACATATACATCTTGAAAAACGAAACACTTTCAAAAGAAGTAAAGTCATTCTTATTGTAAATCTATTTATACTAAGCAATGTGAGGTATTCAAACTTCAACGTACACTTATGTATGCATTTCAAGTCCTGTATTATATACCATAATCTCTTGGAGGGAGAGCGTGATACTTGTGTATAGATCTATACGGGATTGACAATCCCGCACCTAAACTATTAGCTATAGTTAGACCGGCAGGTCTGGGGTGACAAATGTCATAACACTACAACACCTGAAGAATGTTGTTACAGGCATTCAGTGTCAATAGTATGGTTATAAAACTCACATAAAAAGTATAAAAACAAGTTTGATTTACGAGATTCATATATGCATTACAGTTTTCTACATTATTTTTCATACAAAGTTATCTTTATCATTCAAGTACGAAAAATACTAACGCATTCCAACTCTGGAAACTTTTCGAATCATTTATAGAAAATATTGGATTTTCTGAAAACCTCATTTACCGATTTGCTGCCAAAAAGGATATACTTTTCAACTCAAAACACTCATGAACTCACCAACTTAATTGTTGACACTTTTTCAAAACCACTTGTATTTCTCAGGGAACCAGTAATACAGGTAACCATCAACTTTGGAAGAAGGAACGCTAAGAACGTTTATCGTTAAACATTTATATCATCATATTGTAATATTCTTTTGGAAATATGTATAACGCAACAATGTACGTTTTTATTATATATATGATGGTTGTGTACTTTCTTTACGATATTCAA